GCCAGTGAGGTGGGCAGCTCCTCTGCCCCGGCCCACCACACCTCGGCTTGCTCTGCAGAACTGCAGAGATCAAGCACAAACCTTTTAAATCTGCAGTTGCTTTCAAATTTAGAGTTCTCTATCTGGTTCTGTTCAAAGGAATCTTAAGGACATGCTGCCCCTTTATTTGTCACCACACAAGGTAACAACTCACTCGGGTGGGCTGAATCAGAGCACTCACCGGATGGCACCACATCTCACTGAATTTACAGCCGAGAAGCAGCGTTTTCTCTGACTCCTAAAATTATTTTGTTAGTAATATCTGACTGCAAAACCTTGTTCTTATTACAGGGCTTCACACCTAGGCAACTCCAACACTCAGCAGATGAGGTAGCAATCGGACTAACTCAACTAGCAGAGACCTCGAGGCCGCAGACATGGACGTGGATGTACAGAGGGCAGGCAAGGGGGCCTCATGGGACAAGCGACCAAGTGGTGACACCGATGTGCCCTCTGCTTGGGACCAGTGGGAGAAGATTTGATTTTCAGCTCAAGCTTTAGTCTCTACCGAGGAACAATTTATTATTTAATCAGAAAGAGGAGAGGATCAGCACACCAACAACTGGTATATACTTTATGATTCAAACAATCTTATCACTGATATATTAGTATTTTGCTATGGCCCTGCAACAATGTTCAAAATGCTTCTGTCAATCTTTTCCCCTGAAAAAGTAAGCTGTTAGTCACAAAAAGAAAAATCAAAATGCAGGAAGAAATGCTATATATAAGAAGTCCTATCCTGAAGGACATGACTCAAGATTCCCATTTCAGAATTACAATGTTGGAACTCCTTATTCTCTGATTTGTAGGATTCACAGACAAGATACGAGTCAGGTTTTATAAACAAGACACAGCCTCCCAACTGTCTTCTTTGCTCTCTCAAGACAATAATAATTCTCATATTTAAGAGAAATCACCCAACACAGATGTCTGCTGCAACATTACCATAACAGGATGATCCAGTTAGGCCATTTTTATACTACATATGAGCAAGATTACAAAACTGCAAGTGATTAACTTATTGACTGGGAATGGCTCTCAGGTTATATTTTAAATTCTACTGGTTACACACACAACTTTTCAACATGAACTCTACAGTATGTCTGATTTAAATTCATTCACAGCTTAAAATAACCACCCAAAATCCGTAACTGAACTGTCATTATCCAACTCATTCACAAACCTAACTATATCCTGTTCAAGAACTAACTTGAACTATAATACTTAAAAATTTTAACAGAATGGGCCAACTCCATAGACATCTTCCCACTTAAACCAGGATTTTGCCTTAATAACAGAGTACTCTAGTTGTTGCCAATTAACTTCATTAGGCACCAAAGTTCTGACTACAGTATGTCAGTCTTGTTAATATTGAGCATACCAGGAATTTCTCATTTCTCCTGACGGGAACAATCCATAATAGAGCACTAGAAGAATACCTAACACATACATACAGCCCTATCCCCAAGGCTAAGAACAGCAATAATCATCTCTCTTCTCCAAAACATAAGAGGAGGCATCCCTTTTGCATTGAGTAACCCAAGAGTATTCACTGAAGAGTAAGAACCAGGGCCAATTTTTTCATTTCTCTGGAAATTATTAAAATGCAGGTCTCCCACAAGATTCATTTGAATCACTAGTCTGCCAGGTACTTTCAGATAAGGAAATGGAGCACAGTCAGCCCAGCTTGCCATAGCTGAACCATTTTGACTCTAACAGTAAGAATCTACTGCATCCAAGACCGAGTGAAAACGTGAGCAAAATCAGCTTTCAGAAAGGAGATATCCAGACTGTGCTGTGCGGACTACTTATATTGCCCAATAACCATCCTTGTAACAAGTGGCCCCTGGCATTAGGCCATTAGTGAACAGCATGTGGCATTCCCTCTCAGACCCAACAAGTATTCATTTCAAGCAGAGGAAACAAGCTCCAAATGGAAATCCTTTAGGCAAAAGAGCCTGTTACCTATGAGTTAAGGCATTTTTCACAAATGCAGGAAAGTGAACTGTTGAATGGGAATTGTTCACTAAAAGTGAACAACATTCTGAGCTAATGCTCTGCTGAGCACTGTGATGTTTCTTCTAGGCACATGTAGAATGAGGCAGTATGTTTTTTTTAATGAGGATTACAGATTTGGATGTATGTGCCTTGATTCTGCAATCATCACATTTAAAACAAATTCCTTAGGAAATCTGTATTGAGTTTAGATACAGTAGGTACTAGAAGTGTTTCTTTTATCCCAGACATCATCTATACAAGGAATAAAAAAATACTGGAAATATTTTAAAAAGCTTGAATCAAAAAAAGCTACAGCAAACACAGGAAACAAGCAAGCTGTAAGAAAACTGAACCCCCAAATAAACCAAACCACCTGTAAACCTATTTAGGAACAGTAATTCAGATTTAAAAATCTGCAGAAGTGGCACAGCAGTACTTTAAGACTTAAGAGATTATATTGCAATACCTAAGCAGTCTGTGGTGAGCATTAGCGTCTCCTGTAGCAAAATAAACCTGGAAAATATCCAGCGGTTGTGTGTGGACACTACAGGTCATGGAAAGAAAGATAAATGGAGCCAAACATCCACTGGAACTGCAGCAACAGAGTAATTGCTTCAGATGGTTCAGGATAAAAAAAGATTTTGAAAATTAAGCCTCCGAACAGAAAAAATGCAGAGAAAGTAATTTTAGAGCACAAAGTTGAAGTGAGCTATTGTGATTACGCATTTTTAGTGTGAAAAGCCAGAAAACTTCCCTTATGCAAGTCAATCTAGTGGTGCCAATGCTACAGAATGAGACTGCAGCTATGAGTAGAGAAAAAGCACTAGCTGATTTGGTAAGTGTTTCAAGACACTATCCCGAAGTCTGAAACAGCGTCAAGATCAAGGCTGCAGTCTACTATTATTAGGCAAAGTGGTAGAGCAGTGGGTTTACCTAGAACAGTCCAGCATTTTTCAAAATGAAATGCAGTAAAACCAGGATTACACAATAGAGTTCATAGTAAAATAAAAATCAGAGTTCATTAAAAAAGACGACAGAATTTGCAAGGAATTTTCTGGGTGCTCATGGCTCAGCATTGGAATCTGAAAAGTGTTCCTTTAATGCGACATTGGTACTGAACTAGTATGCTTGCGCTAGAGGCAAATAACAAGTAAACACGCACTACAAATAATTATCTTTCTGGAAAGAAAAAAAAAATCCAACTTCTCTAAACATAAATTTGCAGTACTTGAAATCTGATGCTTTCAAGAAGATCCTTATTTGAGCAAATGGCCTCTCTTGCTCTTGAGCTTATAAATCCATCATGCTTCAGCTAAGAACACTCTGAAGGCATGTTATGAACAGGCCCAGATATGCAGCAATAAAATTGCATTTATTTTTACCGTAGCAAATGAGTTAATTTAAATAACTGATAAAACAATAAAAACTGTGTTAACTGAGAAGTTCACAAAGCCCTATTAATACAGTAGATCTGAATGCCTGTTTGAAGTTTCTTCCCGCCTCAATTTCCAGAGTCCAACAGAGGACGCGCCAGAAGAAGGAAGTAACGGATACTTCAGAGTGAAAGGAAGAGACAACTAAGATACTGGCGTACAAGTTTTTCCAGCTTTTATGGAATATTTTATTCTCCAAGCCAGCATGAACAAGATCTTATTTCTCAACAGAGATATCAGTGATTTTTAATTATACCTCAACAAAGAAACCCAAACCAAAACAAAAAAAATCATTAGAGCGTAACAGTTTAGAAAGTATAGAAGAATGGAGGTAAATGCTGCATCTACCACCCCTAAAGCAGAATCTGATAAAGACTGGGATCAGGATGGCTGAGCTATTACTATTAACAATAATGTCCCATACTTTATTAACTTAATCAATTCAGTTATTCTCTGAACAAATCAACTGCTTGTCTCAAAGAAATTATTTGAAAATGTTGCGCTTACTTTAATATTTTTCCTTAGTATCATGAAACACGAAGGGCAATAATCTCACCAGTGTGCAATAAATTAATTCTTAAAGGCCTAAAGCAAGTTTGTAATGTTCTGCATAGTTCAGAAAACCAGGAAGGTAACAGTAGCTCTACACATTTGCTGTTTAGACTCTTTCATTTTGTCAGACTCTAATGTCTGATGCACCTGAACTGTCGTGTTCGATCTTAGAACGGTTTGGGTTGGAAGGGACCTTAAAGACCATCCAGTTCCAACCCCCCTGCCATGGGCAGGGACACCTTCCACTAGACCAGGTTTCTTCAAGCCTCAGCTTTGTGATGAGACAAAACTCATTATTTCAGCTAGTACACGCATTTGCTTACTGCAGTGGATAACAGCAAACCAGTATTTACTCAGAAAAGTTGATCACACCATTTCCTGAACTGTAAATCCTCATGTTTTCGTTACTGAGAAAGGGTTGCAGCTTTATTTTACTGGAATCCTATAGCTGTTCTGACTGCCAACACACTGTTTTAGAGTCAAAAGTGATTAATCTAGAAATGCTGAGATGAAACAGGATAGGACAAAAATATAATTATTATTGTAAATTGTCCATAACACTTAGAGAAGTACCACAAAATATCACTGACCATGAAATCATGCTTAACCTTTTCTCTGATTTGGACTACATGAGAGTCTGGTAACTTTAAGGTTGGGGTGGAAATCAGAAAATTCAGCACACTATTCACCATCAAGACAAGGGAAAAAAAAATGGTTTCTTTTACCACCTAATTATTTTTACTACACTCTCTTTTCTTCTTTGAAAACCTGAAGGTCAGCAACACTTGCACGTGAGTAACAAAACATTTATCAGTGTGGATGTATGAAATACATTTCGAACACTTAAATTCCGAGTCGCCCAAAACTGAACCAACCACATAGAGTGAAATCAGCAGTAATGCTAATTTAGTAAATATTAGAGAGAAATAAGTGTTAATGTATGCTTCTTTTCTATGTATACAAGTAGAATTCTCTTACCTTTTGTTGGACTCTGGTTCTGATCTATAAATCCTTTCAAGTCTCCATTTGTGGAAGTCACACCAACCTGAACAAAATATTTTTTGTTATCATATCTTAAAATATGATAAACCATTCTATGTTTTCTAGTATGCAACTAACAGTCTTATGAAAGTAATCTGCTCTGCATTTCTGAAACATCTTGATCCTATGGATAGTTGAGTCTAACAGGAGCATGAGATTCAAAGCAAAGGATCCAAGACATTTACTGTGTATATATAAAGACAAACTCTAATTAACTTCTTACCCCCCAAAAAAGCCCTAAACATTCTGATATTGTGCTATACATGACCCAAGCAACACATTCTGACTATTACGGTGTAAGTTACTGTCCCCTCCAAACAGAGCAGCTGCCACCAGTAACACAACAGAATCTGCCTGGTGTCCAGTATTCTCAGTACTACGCTATACAATCTATAGGTCTGAGGAGATGTGCCTATTGATGCATTTTAAATACATACCCTAGTCTTCAGAGATAAACTGGTTTACCCTGATGGTAAATTACTGGAGAGACGGAGAACTTAAATCATACAGAGAACAGTGTACCTCAGATTTTGGCATGTACACAAGGTATAGAAAGGTAAAGTTTGTATAGAAAACCAGAAAATCACTTTTCCTGGATGAGGGAGAGAAGAGATGGAAAGTCCCTCAGGTCCCAGCTAACAAGGGATGGGCCCAGCAACAGCTAGGAATGATAAGGCATTCTAGAGTTCCACAGCATTATGCTTGCACCACCTTAGTAACCCCTGTTCAACAAAGCATTCCAAGGCAAAAGCCATGATAAACACTGAGGGATTGAGCTCTGTTGGAGCAGTAGGCAATTAAACTAAATACTACAAAATCTCTTTCTAAATATTATAAAATTTGAGTAGTTATGTGAATAATTGGGACAAAGGGTCCAGATATCAAAGTTAAGAAAAACTAATCATAACCAAGGATCAAATATTTCCTTTAATTTACTGATGTATGTAGTAATAATGGAACATACGCTAGGGCCGCTCACAGGATTTTAAGCATCTCAAATTAGATAATAATTTGACTGCAGGCAAATTAAATGGTAGGAACATAACTCTAAAATAAACTACACAATAACAAAAAGTATGTATTACAAGCATTCAAGCGCTGGGTTCCACTACAGAACTCGTATTCGGCAAGTAGTTTTTGAAGGGGAAAATATGCACACAGTGATGCGACAGACTCCTGAAACTACTTCTATGAAGATTTTTTCACCATCAGGAGCACCGTACAAACTTTAACTGCAGCTGCACTGCCCTGATCGTCAAATACTGCCTGAATGAGCTGAGTTCCTTGCTGCTAGGAACAAGTCCGTAGAGATGCTCGAAATAGTTAACCAATTGATCGCAAACGTTGTCTGAATCAGATGTGCTCTTTGATCACACCCAACTAGAGAGATGGTCATTTACTATTTCTAAGGGGCAACCAAGTGCTTTGGGTGTTGTAGACTACAGTATCGCCAGAAGGTGCTCGTGAAACACACAGAACCTGTCCCATTTTCGCCTCTGTTTTCCCTTTTGCCCCGCAGGTTGCAGCGGTGTAGAGGCAAGGCACAGGGCTGGGGGAGCGCCTGGATTTGAGCACGGGAAAGAGGAGGAAGACATGAAAACAAATGCAGAAAGTCTCCTATTGTATTTTGGTAGCAGGTCCATATGGAAAACAGCAGTGTTCTAGTATCCTTCCCCCCCGGTGCCTAGGTGGCAAGGAAAGCTCATGTGTAAGAGGTCACTGTGATTCCTTACGCTGGAAATGCATTCCTGAGGAGATCTTTAAAACAGAGCTCGGAAAGGTTACGAAACTGGGTAGTATATAGCATTGAAAAAGCATTACAACTGCAAAGCCAAGATGAAGAGGCAGGACTCTTGGATCCTACTACTGCTGCATTTGCATAATAAAGAACAGTATCAGCTTCTCCCTAGGATCCCTACTTCTGCAAGGAAGAGAACAGCATAAATCGGAGAGAATTTTAATCCAGAGAAGGAACAGGGATAAGTATCAACTGATATATGTAAGGGCCTTAACTCGTTCCAAGAGAAAGTGTAAGAATTGCGATTCCCAGGACCATCTTCAAAAGGCAGCACTGCAATTTGTTCACAACTGAACATTCAGCTCTCGATTTACCACTCTACACTTCCCTATTGGTTCATATCGGGGCTTCAGTGAAACACCGAAGATGATATATGTAAGCACTGTTAGCCCAAGATGGCTCTCCAGACATTATGAAAATTTTAACATTTACACTCAATTCCATGAAAGTTTTAGATTATTTAACTGGTTCAATATTTAAGGAAATGTAAAAAAAGTACTTGCGTTCTATTTTTTGTGTATCTTGTACTTCAGTGATCTAAGTCATATAAAATTAACAGCAGAATTTTAGTTTGCCTAGAAGTATGTATTTTCATGACAATGGTCCTAGTAACACTTTTCTAAAGAGCATCCAATGAACAGGAGCACTTCTCTCATTATATTTTTTGTATCTAAGTTTAGAAGAGCTTGAAAACAAACTTGAATTTCATGAGCAGTTAAATGAGAAGTGTGGCAGATCTGAAAGAACTTGTTTCTCTTGCAGAAGAATTATCATAACTAAGCCCTCAGAAGAAGCAACGTGTGATACAATATTACAATACTGCAGTGGAATGAGAACTTTATAGTGTTCCATTTTGATGTCAGAGAGGCCCCAGGACATGTTGTTATCTGTAAACTATACCATCCACTGCTTTTGGGTATCTTGTCATTTTACCACTCCTAAGCTGAAACCAGCAAATGCTTCCATAGGTATAATTTAGTATTTTTTGTATGGCTTGCATAACATTTCTGCTTTATAGCACTGCCCCAAAGCTTCTGGATTACTGGATATGGTGGGAGCTGGATTCCTGCTTCTGTCCATCTGCAGCAAGATGAATTCAGCCATGAAGTAAGCACTTGGCACGCAGGCCTTTGCATCCTATTAAATATTTTCATCAAGAGTTTTCCCCTTTCCTAACAGCTGACTAGAAGTTTCCAAATGGGGTAAGGGGAAAGAAACAAAAGAATCACAAGCAGTGTCTTGGGTGGGACAAACTGTCACAATCTGCTTTTGTAGCTTATCAGCCTTCTCCACTGCTTGACATACTTCTCAGGTAGCAAGTCTCTGCCTGCAATCCTTCCCTTTTCTTACAGAAATTAACTTTCCCAGAAATTAACTTTTTTTTTTTTTTTGTTCTCTCTGCCCTGTGCAGAGTTTCCTGCGTAAGACAGGTGCTTCTTTAAGGTGCTCCTGACCAACTTCAGCAGTTGAACTCTGTCTTCCATACTGACATGTGAAAGGAGAACTGTTGTAGCCATTTATCTGACATCATCTGTGACAAGACCACCACCCTCTGAGAAGCAGTGACAACTTTACAACATCAAGACTAACAGACTTATTCAAATAAGTCATATTACCTCTTTTAAGTCATATTACCTATTTTGTCCTAAAAAGTACTCATGAACCATTTTTTCCCCCATTTCTCAATACTGTTTTGGTGCCTTCTTACCTGAAGGACAGATGGGAATTGAAATACAGAACAGGCAAGAAAAACAGACTTTGTGACATAAGCAAAGAATGAAATAACCCATTAAGAGAGGGCAATTTAAATTACATCAGGGTACAATGTATACAGTAAGCATGTAAACATCTAATTTTCACGAAAATTAATAACTTTTTTCCAACATCTTATTATTCATAGCTGTTTTGGTTGGATTTGTTTTCTAAGGCCTGTCAAACTACCCATTAGCAATGTTCCACAATCAAATACTACAGACAGTGTCCTGCATTTAGAGAAAGTGAGCAGTGAACCCAGTCTTGATAATTCTCCCACCACGTACTCAAAAAGTTAGCATGGAAAAGCAGTGACAGGGAACGTTATTTACCTTACTTACACATTCAATCCATGGAAATGTTTTGCCATGTGCCTGAAGCACAAATTTCCTCTGAGATAAGCTTGCTCAACACAGCTTACGCACGTGAGACGCAAAGGCATTTTAGCCTAAACTCACTGCGCTTTGTTCCTAACGCCTCGCAAGTACACGAACATCCCTAGACTACTGTGTGCCAGTTGAGGGGTAGGGACTTCAGAACACAGAGGTGACAACTTCTTGGTGTACATGTTTCATGAAAGATATGTGCCCTTCGAGAGATTCCCAGAAGATCTCCAAATCCCAGTACTGTAAAATTCCCTTTCCTTGATGCTTCAACAGAAAGAAAAAAGATGGAAATACTTCTGCAGAGCTCCCTCCCTCAACTCACTCTGCAGATCATTAAAATATTTCAGACAGTCTAACAAGCACTAACCTTACATCTGAAACAGGTTTCAGGCTGCAGAAACCTGTAGATATATACTAAATCCCACAACTCCGCATATTCAGAAGCATCCCTGGGCCTTCTAACAGCAATAGAAACACTAGGGCTGAAACGATTGGCCTGAGTGTGCAGTTCTGAGTGACTAAGGTTGGGCTTTCCTAAAGAAGTGCTATAAGTAAGTATAGAAAGTATATGACAAAGTATGTTTAGTAAGTATATGACCATCCTTGTTTTTACACATTTATTTTGCAACTCTTTTACAGATATACTTAACAAACATGGAAACTGAGTTCTGCTTCCACCTGCATCACAGTAACTGATTTTTTAAAAATAAACCCCATAAACATTAGCTAGATAACTACGTTTACATAGTTTAACATGCAAAATTTCAAAGCATGCATGCCAATAAAATATTTATTTTATAAAATAATGATAGCCTTGCATTAAATGTTTCTATACTCAGTACAAGAGTAGGTTGCCCAGACTGAAGGTCATGTGTCTGTCCTTGGAGGTTTTCAAAACACAAAGCGCTGAGCGGTCCTGAACAAAGCACCACACAACTCCGAATTCAAGTGGCAAAGAGCTTTAAGCAAAGCACCAGAGTAGATGGCCTCCTGAGATCCCTTCCAACCTGTGTCACTCTGTGACTCTATCACACAACACCCACGGATTTTATCGGCATCAGTATTTATCCTTTGACTGCATGGAATAAAAGGTCAAACCCATAAAGATTTGCATTTGTGCAGCTGTTCCACATACATCAGTAGAATTACCTATTTATACTGCAGCTGAATATGGCCTCTGAAGTAAGTCAGTCAAAGGGCTTTGCATATTCACATCAACTTATTTTCTGGCTTAGTCAGCTTGAATCAAACATAAGATATCTGAAAGCCTTACCTGGAACTACACACCAAATAAACCATTAATAAAACAAACAGAAAAGAAATTTCCAAGACTTGAGAATTACTTTAACCCAACTATGCCCATGGCATTAATCTAACCAAATACGCACAAAAGCTTTTGCAGTTACTGAACAGAGCACCATCCTAGGGTTACCTGCACTTTTATTTTGGGTTACTTCTTTAGTCATGTTGGTTCCTGAGCCTGTTCAGATTTAATCAGACTGCAGGATGCCCTGTCAAAGGCAGTCAACAGGTAAACTGCCCAGGGCCTAAGGTCATACTGAACTCACCACCAACCTTAATCAGAACTGTTCTCCACACAAACTGTGTACCGCAGGAAACACAGCTCATTAGGCAGAAAATTAACATCAGGGTGTTAGACATTTCATAAGCTTCACCAGAACTCAGGACAGGGGAGTCAAATACAGAGCCTCTAGACACACACTACAGGCTTGTTAATGTGGCAGACGAACAAAAAGGAAGGCCCTCAGCCTTCCAGAAATGAAGAGTGTACTGGCATTAGTAAAGAAATATGTTGGTTTTCTGTTCTTTCTTCAGTTTAGAGACTCAGACTCAGCAGAAGGATTTTACTCTGGTGCATAGGTGAGACACTCTCAACAAAATGAGCAGCTCTCTGGTAAGTTTGGAGCAATATCAGAAGACACACAGGATTTCTTGAGTTGGAAGGGACTCATAAGGATCAGTAAGGAAATAACACAAAGCATTGTTCCAGTAAACAACTTAACATAAAGCTGAGTAAATTCCACATCCTTAAAGAGTTTCTAATCAGTTTAAAATTATCAAAATACTGGAGAAGATGATGGGGTATACCTCTGTGGTATACAAAAATCAGACAATTTTTGTATTTGAAGGTCTTTGTGTTTGATTTCTTGTATGGATAACTACCAGAAATCAAACAAAAAGACCTTCAAATTCTGAAAGCTGGAAGAGACTGGCAGTATGCCAATATAAAAAATAATACATGTTGTAGAATTATACTTACATTTTTTGCCGTCATGTCAGACAATATTGCTTTATATTCTGTAAAACCATAAGATATCCCTTTTCATCTTCACAGAATCTTTAAAATGAACATCCTGTAAGAAAGTTAATAAAATATCTTAGTTAAAATGTATTTTCAGTTACCTCTCTAGCTGAAAGCCTGCATCTCCAGAGGACAGATACTTTTTTTTATACTCACAATAGTCAGGTTCTACAGGGACACTAGAAATGTGCAGTGGTACTTAGAATAGGCAGACATGTAATCTTACATACAAATGCCCACCTTACATAGAGGCCTAACCATATTAATGTGCTAGCAAAGTGTGTCATACCAGTACTAAAGTCTTGTAATTAAAACCATGCAATCATTTGTATCTAATGCAGATTGACTCTAAAAACTGGAAATGAATCAATTCTCTCCATCCCATTAGCCTCCAACAAAAGAGAAAGTTTCTAATTCCATCACTGCAAACATCCAAGGATCTTGGTAAAAAAAAGGAAATAGTATGAACCATAGAACTGTAGAAGGGTTTGAGCTGAAGGGACCTTGAAAATAATGTAGTTCCAACCTCCTCATCCAGCCTGGCCTTGGACACTCCCAGGGATGGGGCATCCACAGCTTCTCTGGGCAACCTGTCCCAGTGCCTCCCCACCCTCTCCGGGAAGAACTTCTTCCTTATATCCAAGCTAAATCTATCTCCTTACACTTGTCCTGTCACCACTTGCCCTTGTAAAAAGTCCCCTCCCAGCTTCCTTGTAGCCCCTTCAGGTACTGGAAGGTCTCCCTGGAGCCTTCTCTTCTCCAGGCTTAACAAGCCCGACTCCCTCAGCCTGTCCCCATGGCAGAGGGGCTCCAGCACTCAGAGCATCACAGAATGTATATACACAGCAAACTAAGTAGGAAACATCCAATAAAATGCATTCCAGTTCAAAATAATCTTTTTAATAATTTTCAGACCTTTTTATTAACATAGTATAACTAGAACTGTAGTATTACTATTCCAGGGAAAGACAAACATTTTGGTATACTGAAAGATACTTAAAGTGACGACTTCTTAAAATCAAAGCTTCCAGAATTCTTACAGAAAATAGAAGAAAACAAGTTACAAAACAATGCCAGCAGCACAGATCATTTTAAAGGCAGAATTAACTTTCAAAAGCATTTAAGTACTTCAAAAGTACTTTATAAGTACTATTTGCTGTTAATAAATGGACTACAAAAGATATCTGAATTGCACTTGGATGTATAATAGAAGGAGAACTGTTCACACTTTCAAGCGTGGCATCAATTAAGCAAAATCTTTTAGAAGATGCCCAAACTAGCTACCAAATACGAGTCACGACTATTTACAGCAGAACTCACCAGCTACAAAAGCAAAGTGCAATTCATTCTATTTCCCCTTTATTTTAACCTGTGCAAAGTTTGAGAATGGCCAGTGTCTTTACCTCCTTTCCAGAAAAGGGACAAAAATTGTTTCAGTATTGTGCGTAGCCAATGGGAAGCTCTACCATCACTGCATTAGTGATTTGGACAATCTGGAAGAATTTCAAATTCTAGGACATCCCCATAGATTTCTTGGTTTATTCAGATATCATATAAGTTCAAATGTTGTTATAGTTAGTGGAAAAAAATTTGTTCAATTTGGCGGGGCTCTCCATTTCCTGTTGAATGAGCTGTATTTATCATCCCTACTGCCTCAGTTTATTACAGCCATAATCAAGCAGCTACTCCAGCATGTGAACACCATGCAAATCTGTCTACTTAGACATTCTCCAGTGAAAACTTTTAGTTTTACAGAAAACATACAAGAAAATAAGCAGCATTCTTCTCTGCCTTCAGAGAGCGCTCTATTCACACCCTGGGGAAAGAGGATACTGGGTCTCTGTAGCAATCCTGAAACCTGAGAAAGAGCCACAGAAAAGCCAGAAAGCTACAGTTGTCATGTCAAAGAGGAAATACTGAATCCTTGCCATGCATCTGAAAATTCTGATCTACGTGCCTTTTCTCCTTCCACCTTCCACCTCCTTCCACACAAACTCCACATCACAAGCTCTCATCTGGAGCTTTGGCCAAAATTCACGAAGTTTGACATCCCTCTCTTGCCTTCAGAGGCTTTACAAGTAAATTACTCAAATAAAACAGTTAAAAACACATTTGCTAGGCAGTTTTAACCCCTTTACACAGAAGCAAACTAGTTTCATCTTTGACAAGTTATTTGCTGTCAAGCTTAGTGATCCAGAAGGTATTGTCCATAAACTATTACAGTCCTTTGCCACAATGCTCTTCAGCCAGTACGAACAGTTGGTATTCTTCCAGCTTTATGAACACATTTTGTCAAGCTCGAGAAGCCAGACTTTGTGACCTCACCATCTGCCACGACCTCTTGTCAGGTTCAGACAAAAGAACCTACACAGATGGCCTCAAAATGGAGATTCTCTTCAAGCCCAGTTGCTGTTTGACAGCTTGCACCATACAGATAGAGGAACATAAAACTCAACCTTTTTGTTCTTTAGCTGGTTTCTACTGAAACGAAGCTGCATAGAGACAGGTTTAGAGCCCAAAGCATGAGACACAAAGATTCCTTTATTTGAACTAAGGTTCCCCCTTCATAATCTAAACCTTGGTTTATAATCCACTCCCGTAATTTTGCCTTTTGATCAAATACCACACAGCACAGTGAGCCAACCAAACCGTCTGACTTTGTCAACTTGGAGCTGTAGTTTCGCCTAGAACGTATGTTGCCTAATCACTTATGCCAATGACATTAAAAAGCCAGTTTGGGCATTAAATTTACAACAGCCCAGACAATCAAGCTCTAGTTACAACAAAACGGTACAAGAGAGGTTATCTGTACCTATTCTTTGTTACAAGTTAAAACCCAGATCTATTCTGAAGTTTCAGTGATACTGAAGCTGAACCTCAGTACAAGAAGCAATGCAAACCAAAAAAGAGTTATCTGCAGGAAAATATCATATTCCTTCATAGGTTTATTTTGTATGGTCTGAGGTCTTAATTTAAAAATACCCCTTTAAGATACGTAAACTGGCTAAAACGTAACAGTAGAAAATAATAACACACTGTACTATAACAGTCTCTTTTCTGCCCCTGAAAATTAAGCTTTACCAAACTTATCCGGGTTTTCTTTAGCTTTCTCAGATTCTTATCAGTACTTCCCATATTGCATCTTCGTGTAGATCAGCACCACACAAAGATTCTCCCCAGTCCTAGAGGCCACCTCCACTTCACAACAGAGGTGTCATTTATGTCAGTACTACACCCATATTAAACATCAACAAATTAATATAACTATTGTACAGTTATCTAAAATCAAACGATGAAAATCTTCACAAAACACAGAAAAAGTTGTAGAGATATTTTAGTACACGAGAAATATTTTTATCATCATCAAAGAGTATTTTTTTCATTTACTTGATCAAGAATATTGCGAAGTGAAAATTACTCCAAGTAACTGGGTCAGCTAAGAGGAAAGAAAGTGTCATCGGTTTCAAAAAGAAAAGAAAGCTGTGTAACTCCAGCCTCTGCACTAGAAATTAGTTTGTGCTCTTGACACCGCTCACTGTAATACTGTCAAGTTATGGTACCCCAAGGCTGATTTCAGATGACAGCAGTAACAAGACGACTGCTGATTAATCAGTCCAAGGTCAGTTTTAAACCAGCAATTTATGCAGAGCACCTGCATGGATTAGACCACCTACTACACACATGTTGCTTCATTGTGTCTCAGTTTTCAGACCAGTAAAATTTCAAAATACTTATCAGAAATCCACCTGCTCTCCAGAAGCGTTTCCCCATTTTGTTCCTAAAAAACATTTCAACATCAAACTCCTTTTTGAAGCAACTGAGACACAAAAGGACCAATTTTAGTGAAAATATCTGTATGTATTAGTCAGATTAATTTCTTGCTACCCTAAGAAACAGAAAAATAACTTTGTTATCAAACTTCTGAAATTTAAACGGCAGATTTTGCATCTCTGTAAGAATATTGATTTGTCAACTTTTTTCCCTGAGTCCTCTTCAGATCATTTAGTCTCAGTTTTACCCTTTATTTATATAGACAACAAATAAATGGCCTAGGAACTGCAAAAGACAGGAATACGCATGTGCATGTAACATCCAGCTTGTCACTTAATAAAGGACCTCAAAAAGCCAACCAAGGGGTGTATGCAACAAGTCATACACAGAGAATGGGAAATAAGTCACCATCTTCAGTTATCACACAGTAATTTTCATTTTGAAAATAACATTAGGAAGTAGCCCTTAGGAAACACCTGAACTCCCACCATGATGTGCATGATGAAGGTCTTGTAGTTACTACAACTTATTTTTCCAGCTTTTACTGTGAGCAACTGTATGCCTTCAGAAACATCCCAGTAGATAACAGACAAGGTGGTTAGAGAGACTGAACAAAGGAAATTAAGTGACCTGACTGCTAAGTGGTATAAGGAGTTTTTAACAAAATATAGTAAGACCTTGAGAAGAACAGCGAGTTTAAAAGCTTCATTGTTTAATCGTTTTTATGCGACTTAAAAGACTGCAACCTATGAATCCAAAGCACAGAAGTTTTCACGGCGACATGACACAAGAACTGACATGAGTATGACTGCTTTAAACCAAGATGCAAATGGAAAATATAACTACCTGAACCTAATTTGAAAGTGAAGATCTCATCTTGTAGTCTGGGGAAAACAGCTGACACACAAGAAACCAGAAGGAACAAACCCAAATAAATACCTACAAGTGACCAGGTTCTCCTAAGGTGCTGTGACTAAGCCAAGGTATCATCAGATCAAATTAACTGACACAGCAGTAATGATGACTCAAGTTTACACAGTGCAGATCACCTGGGAAAACAGACAAGGCCTATGTGTGAGTTCAATTAGTATGAACTGTAGCACTTAAGCTATGTAACAACCAACCAGCATTTAGTGAGGTTTGCTAAGAGGACGTCAGGGGAAACATCCCTTTCAGAACCTCACGCAGCATATATTGGGGCA